AAAAATATGGTACTTTGCATTCTTTTGAGCAACCAGGTGCTTGAGAAATTACTTAAAAATGGATGGAAGGAGTTTGTTTCTATTCACCTACCCATTTCCAGGATAATGTAACATACAGGCATCTTTTGTGAAAGATGCGTTGGACTTACTCAGTTCTTATTCAGTGCAATAAAGATGCCTGGGACATATTCCGTTCTCAGATTCTCCCACACTTGTTCTCATAAGGAAAGCACATTCTCCAAATTATATAGTCCACTGCTATAAATAGGACAGTGATTGTTTTTCCCAACGTTGCCTACAGAATATCCATTCAAGGATATTCAAGAATTAGAAGGGTGACCAGATGTAAATATCCAGCATTACTTGAGTCCTGCTCAAAACGCTGCCTATAAGCCTTTTTTTCTCCCACCTCCAGCTAAAGCTGTGAGTGACAGCAGAAAACCTTTTTTTTTTAAAATTCGAAGTCGCTAAAAATTACTGTGAATTATAATTCCTACAGCGGAAGCATAGATGGTTAAAAGGTGATGGAGTTGGCGGAGATGGCAAAATTGACTGTTCTAAATAAAGAGAAGAATTCATCTAGTTTTGTTTCCATTTTGGAAACCACTTCTGGATTTTGTGCTTGAAGCTAAAAAAAAAAAATGGAACTAATTTTAGGTTTTGAGGATTAGAATGACTTTCTTGTTACAGAAATGGCTTGTAACATTTAGAAGTGCAAAGGAAAAGTTTGTGGCTGTAACTCTCTTTGCATTGTACTGCATTCAAAAGGTTGGAAAACATTACTTTTTCATCCTTTTTCATTTCTTTCTGCCCTTTTCTCTTCAACTTTCTTAATTTTTGTTTTTATTTGCATTTTATCCTATAGTAAACTTTAATAAAATATATAAAAAAATAAAGAAACCTACCATAAATTTCATCGAGTTAGCTTCGTAGGAATGTATCTGTAGATTTAAATGCACACGACTCCTTAATCTGTCAACATTATTATTCAGGATGTCAATATTTTAAGAATAAAATTATTTAGCTTTCATCCAAAGTTAAGTATTAAACAAAGGGAAAAAAATACTGCAACTCACATTAAAGTATTAATTGTATGACAATAGTTTCAATGTTAAGCCAATTACTTAATATTAAAATATCCATTGTATTGTTACTCTATACAGATAGTCCTTGACTTACAACAGTTCGTTTAGTGACCATTTAAAGTTACACCGGCACTGAAAAAAGTGACTTATGACCGTTTTCCAAGTAACAACATTTCCAGCATCCCCATGATCATATGATCGAAATTCAGATGCTTGGCAACTGGTTCATACTTATGACCATTGCTGTGTCCCAAAGTCACATGATCACCTTTTATCAAGCCAAGTCAATGAGGAAGCCAAGATCACTTCATAACTGTGTTACTAATTTAACAACTGCAGTGATTCACTTAACAACCGTGGCAAGAAAGGTTGTAAAATGGGGCAAAATTCACTTAACAAATGCCTCACTTAAAAACAGAAATTTGGGGCTCAATTATGATTGTAATGGATGGAAACTGATCAAGGACAGATTCAACCTAGAAATAAGGAGAAATTTTCTGACAGTGAGAACAATCAACCCATGGAACAGAAGTTGCCTTCAGAAGTTGTGGGACTTCATCACTGGAAGCCTTCAAGAAGAGACTGCCATCTGTCAGAAATGGTGTATGGTCTCCTGCTTGGGAGGTAGGTTGACCTATAAGGTCCCTTCCAGCTCTGTTAATCTGAATCTATCTAAGACTACCAATAAATAAATAAATGTAACTAATAAAGGTGTAAGACCACACCTAGAATACTGCATCCGGTTTTGGTCACCACGCTATAAAAAAGTTGTTGAGAGTTGTTCCAGAGTGCAGAGAAGATCAACAAAGATGATTAGGGGACTAGAGGCTAAAACGTATGAAGAACGTCTGCAGGAACTGGGCATGGCTAGTCTGGTGAAGAGAAGGACCAGGGGAGACATGATAGCCGTCTTCCAATATTTGAGGGGCTGCTACAGAGAGGAGGGGGGGGTCAACCTATTCTCCAAATCACCTGAAGGCCAGACAAGGAATAATGGATGGAAACTGACCAAGGAGAGATTCAACCTAGAAATAAGGTAAAAAATTCTGACAGTGAGAACAATCAACCAGTGGAACAGACGTTGCCTTCGGAAGTTGTGGGAGCTTCATCACTTGAAGCTTTCAAGAAGAGACTGGACTGCCATCTGTCAAAAATGGTGTAGGTAGGGTAGTGGTGAAATCCAATTTTTTTTACTACGGGTTCTGTGGCCGTGACTTGGTGGGCGTGGCAGGGGAAGGATACTGCAAAATCTCCATTCCCACCCCAATCTGGGGCCAGCCAGAGGTGGTATTTGGTGGTTCTCCAAACTACTCAAAATTTCCGCTGATTCTCCAGAACCTGTCAGAACCTGCTGGATTTCACCCTTGAGGTAGGGTCTCCTGCTTGAGCTGGGGGTTGGACTAGATGACCTACAAGGTCCCTTCCAACTCTTATTCTATTCTAAACAAACAAACAAATGCAGGATAAATCAGTTTGCTTGTCCATTTAAAAAGAGCCTTGGTGGCGCAGCAGACTAAAGCGCTGTTAAGTAGCACCAGCTGCCTGCAATTACTGCAAGTTCAAATCCCACCAGGCTCAAGGTTGACTCAGCCTTCCATCCTTTCGAGGTAGGTAAAATGAGGACCCGGATTGTGGGGGCAATAAGCTGACTTTGTATTAAAAAAAAGAACACCGCTTAGGGGGCCCCTGAAAGCCCTACTAAGAAGGTATATACAAAAGTATGAAGGCTATTGCTTAACGCATTGTAAGCCGCCCTGAGTCTCCGGAGAAGGGCGGCATATAAATCGAACCAATAAATAAATAAATAAATTTGTTTGCAGCTGTATTTTGGGATTGCGAGGAGGGTGGGGGAGAACTGTTTTTATGCACTTCTAAATGCGTTCCATCCAGTCCTGAATTTTTTTTCCACCCCTTCCACGGATAGACTGGCTTTAAATGTCTCCACATTCCTCACGTGTGTGTGCGAGCCTCCCATCTCCTGCACCAAGTTGTCCCCAGTTTCCTCCAGCCAGCAACCATCCTTCCCCCCCCACGCCTCCTCCTCCTCCTATTTCTGAAGCCTTTGAACAGAGCAGACGTCTCTGCTGACAAATTTCAGAGCTGCGGGCCAGCTACGCCCGCTCGCTTCCACTTTCCACATGCCAATGATTGTCGATTTTACCATCTATGGTCAAAAACACCGAGACGAGCAGGAAGCCGGGTTAAAAAAAAAGAACAGCCCGCCGCCTCCTTCCTCTTGGCGGGTTGTGAGTCCCACAAATATCCCCCCAACCGTTTAAGCCTCCTTTGCAAAGCCTGGGAGCTGCTTTTTGGCTCTTTTCTCAGTTTTTTGTTTAAAGATGCTTGCCTGGCAGGCGGATGAATGAGGAAGGGGAGGGCAAGGGAGAGCCCAGCTGAAGGTGGGGGCGGGGGAGACCCAGGATGGAGATGGCGTAGGTCGAATGGCAGTGGTCACCAACCGGTGGTCCTTGGACCACTGGTGGTCCATGAGAAAATTTTAGTGGTCCACAGAAAAACAATTCGCATTTTTTATATTGCACTAAATACTATTTATCTTTTTTAAAAAAAATTCATATTGGTGGCCCGTGGGATTTAAAATGATGAATTTAGTGGTTCCTGAGGTCCGAAAGGTTGGTGACCCCTGGAATAAGGCTCCATCTGGGCTTTTGGAAACTGGATTGGGGAATGAAGGTGCTTTTTTTTCCAAGCGGCAACTGGACTTCCTTGTTTTTCTTTGAAGGCGTTTCGCTTCTCATCCAAGAAGCTTCTTCAGCTCTGACTGGATGGTGGGGAATGGAAGGATTGATATTCCTTGCTGCAGACAGAACTGGTCATTTGCATCCTTTCAGAGCAGTGGTTCTCAACCTTCCTAATGCCGGGACCCTTTAATACAGTTCCTCATGTTGTGGTGACCCCCAACCATAAAATTATTCCTTATAATTATAATTTATAATTATAATTATTTATAATTATAATTCCTTATAATTATTAGACCATTGAAAATATGTGTTTTCCAATGGTCTTAGGCGACCCCTGGGAAAGGGTCGTTCGACCCCCAAAGGGATCGTGACCCACAGGTTGAGAACCACTGTTTTAGAGGGTCGTTGAAGCCCTTGGAGGTTTATGTGTCCTCAGGGTCACCTGAGTAATGCAAATGGCTTTTGTAGTCTGCAATGTTTTTTCCCCTTCTATTCTGTTCTATTCTATTCTATATTCTATTCTCTCTATTCTATTCTATTCTATTCTCTCTCTATATTCTATTCTATTCTCTATCTCTATTCTATTTCTCTCTCTATTCTATTCTCTCTCTATATATATTCTATTCTATATTCTATATTCTATTCTCTATCTCTATTCTGTGAAATTCCTGTAATTACGACAGGCAGAAGTTCAACCGGTGAATGAAGTCTGTAGCTCCCGTGCGCCTGTATTTCAACCCCATCTGCACTGCAAAGCGTTAAGAACTCCTATAACTAAGACAGGCAGAAATTCAACCGGTGTGTGCGTGAAGTTGCTGCCCCATTTCTACTTCTGCCTGCAACCGGAAATCTTGCTCGGCGTGCAAACCTCCCCCCCGGCCCCCCCACCCCCACCCGTCAACTTTCCCGCCTTTGTGCTTTCCCCATGCCCCCCCCATTCCCGCGGAGCCGTAGCTGTCCATCTTGCCCAAAGCCCGCCCCGCCAGGGAAGCCACGCCCCTTCCTCCTCCTCTCTCCTCCTCCTCCTCCTCCCCGCCCTTCTTTCGAAGCCTTCGCCGTCAGAGCCTTCCGCCTTTCCTTCTCTTTGCCCGCCAACCTAACAGAGAGAGGGGGGGCGTGGTTAGGACAATTTCCCTTTTAAGCCCCGCCCATCTGGCGCGCCTTCTTTTACCTGCCTTTCTCTCTCTCTCTCTCTCTCAGCGTATTTCCGGTAACGCCGGAAGTGGAGCGGGGAGGGTTACTGGGCGTCTCCAGGCGGAAGTGGAGCTGTCGGGGAAAGGCGGCGGCGAGGAGGCGAGCGGGAGAAGGAGCCGCGCCCTGAGCCACTGCGCGAGGTGAGGCGGCTGCTGGCGCTCCTGAGCGTGGCTGGGCGTCCCGAGTGGGTTGAGGCGGGTGGGGGGGGGGGGGGGGGGGGGGGGGGGGGGGGGGGGGGGCAGGAGGTTTGAATGGCACCTTGCGGTGCACATCTGGGAGGGGCGGGGAGGCGTGTTCGGGTTCCCACGACCCACCTAACCTGCTTCTGCAGTGCCGTTTCCCGGATTCGCCCCACCGCGGGGCTTCGCAACCCAAACCCAAGCTGAGCCTTTTGTGCGGGGGAAGGAAGCCAAAGCCTCCTTGACCTCCCCGGCTGGCTGGCTGGCTTGCTTGCTTGTTTGCACGCGCGGGCGGGCGTGCAAAGGGTAAACTTGACGGGTTAAGACACGTGTCTCCTTGCAAGGAGGACGCGGCTCCGGGGAATGCCCTGGGTTGCAACCCAGAGCTCCTCGGGAAGGCCTTTTCCTTGCTTATCGGCGGGTGCGTGGGAGGGCTCTCCCCTCTTTGGGAACTGCAGTGCCAGGCGAGGAGGATGGCGGGGTTTAAGCCTTGCAGACAAGACCCGTTCTCTGGGTTGGGCCAGCTCGGGATCCAGTTGTCCTGGGATCCAGGGTGTGTGTGTGTGTGGGGGGGAATCTATTAAAATCCATTCTCCGAATTTAAGGCCCAATTCTTTAATCCAAATGTGGAATGAAAGAATTTGAAAAAAGCCTTGGGCAGGAGAAGCATGGTTAGAGCAGTTTGAAAACGGCAGAGGTTTCTGTGCTGTGTTAACTCTCCCGTTTAGATTTGAAGTGCCTAAAGCGTTTGACATAATTTGCCTAAAATAGTCTAGTAGTACCCAGACTACGGCCTTAAAAGATGGAAAGGGGCCTTTACCAGTTCCAATATTCTTAGTCATTTGTGGGCAAGGAGAAGAGACTGACTCAGCACTGCACATTTTGCCAAATAGACCTGAAAGCACAGAATTAGGACTTCAAGATCAATTGCACAGCTCAAACAGAGCAAGCAAGGAAAACCTGCTTGTTTGCAGAAGCAGGTGTTGTCCTTAGGGGAAAGGGGAAAGATAGCGAGTCAGAATTCATTTTGGAATATGGCTTTGAATGCCCTGCATTGTAGTGGGAGATATGGGGGGGGGATGATATGTGAGCATGAAAGCAGCAAGAGGAAGATGGCTGGAGAGTCAGACTAGGATAATTCAGTTTGGTGCAATTTGTAGTTGGTCTCCTGGGATGTATCGAGGGACGTGATTGGAATAGAGCTGCAGTTTATTATTGGTTCGTAAGGAATTTGAAGGTTGAACGAGAGATGTGCCATCAGTTGCTTTGAAACTGAGTGTGCATTATACCAAAGAGACAGTTACTGAGTTTATAAATTGCACTGTGCTACAATGTGTCTTCTTGATTTTGTTTTGCCATGATCCGGAAACCAATTATGGCTTAATTTAAGAAATGTTTACTGATACGGTACTTTAGATCAGATTATTTACAAAATAACACTTAGCTTGGTTTGCACTAGGCTGCAAAAAGCTTACTTTTTATTTGTCTTACCTTATTTGTCTCTCGTCACACAGGAGGAAATTCCCATGTAGTAACTTGCAGAACAAGAGTTGTAAATTCCCAGTGAGTTGCATACAGGAATTAAGATCTTTAGAAGCTGTATAGTTAAGTGGAAGATGAAGCTGTTATAGTATTCCACTCAATGGATAAATCGTAGGCATGTAACTAGTGTCAATATTAAGTTTAATGCAGGAAGTAATGACTAAAACCACAGAGAAGAGAAATATGCAGCCCTGGACTCAAGCTGTGTAGTTTCAATTGTTATTCCAAGAGAAAAAACTGTTCTCTAACAAAATATATAGTGAGTGGTGTGGGAAAGGTAATAATCCCACATTGTTGTGAGATTGGTACAGTGATGATTGGGTTTATGTAATGTTTATGGGTTTGGTTGGTTGTACTGTGGACTCTTTAATGTTGTACTTGTTCTTCTAGGTTTTAATGTTATGTTCTATTTTTTTTTTTATTATGTAGTGGCTGTTTTATTTTTGTTGTAAAGCTGCTGTGAGACTTCATAGACGTGGCAGCATAAACTCCATTGAAAGGAGAAACAGACTTGTACCATTTTTGATAACTACTTGAATCACTGGGGAATAATCCCCAATAGGGATATTGTCAAAAATGCCCTTTTAAATGTCAAAGAGGACACTTCTATTGGTTGCATTCAGACATCATTAAACCACAATTATTTATTTAAACCATGGGTTTTACTAAGCACAATTGGCTGAGATCACACATGCTAAAGCAATAATATTGTTGATTGGATATGCTTATTAACCCAATACAAGGCAAGTCACTGTTGAAGTAATGTTATGCATGAATTTGACACTAAACCTTGGCTCCTGTTGTAAACTCTCTGGGGAATTAGCTTTGTTATTGAAAAGGAGAATTCAGGTACAGTAAATTACATAGTGATGCTTTCAAATTGCTTAGCCCTGTGTTTTTAACAGCATGTTATTCCCTTAATTTCTGCTGCTGTTTTTCCCCTGCCCGTTTACCATAGGTTTGTCAGCAAAATGTTAAATATCCCTTTCCTGTTCAAAGTCCATCTGATACTAGCCCAGTGCAGTGGTTGGCTGTGAAATTAAAGTCTTTGAAACATTATGTTGAGAATTATGATTGTGGGAAGAAATACTCTGTTCTCTAGCATTTACATGTTCAGTTGGTGAGTTTCTCTAAAGTGCCTCTTTTGAAAACTCAGCTTTGCCTGAAGAATAGAATCTGACTGACTGGATCCCCTCTCCCCCAGTTAGAACCCATTCTAAAAATTCTGCTTGTTTGCAGATACTTATCCTTCAAGAATTCATTGATTGTTTGATGATATGATTGTTTGAGAATGACTGTGTAGAAATCGCTTTGCATTTGCTAACTGTAGAGCACCAAAGCTATTTTTTTCAGAAAAGGCTTGTCCAAAAACAAAGGTCAGTGATATACCAAGCTATTTGATCTTTGTAGGGGTGATGCTTTTACTGGTAGCTACCGTATTTTTCAGAGTATAAGACGCACCTTTTCCCCCCAAAAAAGAGAGTGAAAATCGGTGTGTGTCTTATACTCCGAATGCAGCCCCTCCCAGCTTCTCAAACGGAGGTTTCAGAGGCTGAAAAAAGCATCAGAAACGAAGCTTCAGAAAAGAAGCCCCCAAACAGAGCTTCAGAGGCTTTTTTTCTGAAGTTCTGTTTCGGAGGCTTTCAGAGGCAGGGGAAAAAGTTTTTTCTGAAACAGAGTTTCAGAAGTTTCAGAGGCAGGAACAAAAACCAAAAAAAGCAAGGCACAGAGCTCACAACCAAGGAACCTGTTGCTAAAATTCACCTCTGGGAACAGCTGATTGGGGGCATTCCGGGAGGCCAATCCACCCACAATCAGCTTTTTTCTTATTTTCCTCCCCAAAAACTAAGGTGCGTCTTATATTTCGAAAAATACAGTATATCAGGTGTAAACTTGTGAAGTAAAAGTAGATGCTGAACTTTTTGTGGAAGCTGCGGCTAGTTAAATATTACATTTGCACTGAGAAATTTGTGACTAAGTGCAGTATGTGAAGTCTCCGGTTTGCCATTTTTCAGTGGAATCTTTTTAAGATGGTATTAAAAGTAGAGCTGCTTAATTCAGAAGCATTCCATCCCTTTAAATCTTGGGTTTACTTGATCAGTGATAGTTTGTAAAAACCTGAGTTATAGAATAATGTTATATGTTTATGTCTTCAAATCAATCTTGACTGCTGGCAGTTGTCCAGGCAGTTTTCTTGCCACCAGATTTGGGAGTGGTTTTCTCTTGCCCTCCTTTCTAGGGCTGGGAGAGGTCCAAGGTCACCCTGCTGGATTCATGCCCAAACCAGGACTAAAACTCACAATCTCTTGATTTCTGGTTCATTGCCATAACACTATATCAAACTGGGTACCATAGATATACTTGGATTTATGCATTTATGTTTTACACAATATTTTATATTGCTCCTTCATAGATTTGGTGCCATTAATAATTAAACTCTGCAAGGGCCACTGCTTCCCAGTAGAAAGGCAAAGTTTGGATGTGATTGAAAAGTATATGCCTTGGTAAAATGCTCCTGCCTCTGAGCATAGGAAAAACTTTAGGGAAGTTTCACATTCTGAAGTCCAGTGCAGACTTTCTTGGTGTTTTGTGAAAATATTTCTGGCGTCCCTTTTCAAATAGGGCCAAGTGTGCTTCTAGCTTCAGGCCTGCAACAGTTTGAAAGATTCCTCGGGGTTAGAAGCAATTGCTTGCAGCTTTGAAGCTCAGCTTGGGGGAGAAAATGGGGTGGGGGTTCAAACAGACCATTATGGTATGTAGTAATAGACTTCGGTCTATTCTGTTAACAAATAATTTGTTTTAATGAAATGTAGGTGGATACTCTCCAAATTATTTAAAGATGTACGAAAGTAGAATTTGTATCCATTAAAATACGTCCTTCAGATTTATGAATACCATGAATAGTGCTTATTAACTGGAACCTCCTCTCTCTGCAGGGTTTGCTGGAGTGATGCTGTACTATTCAGCTCTAATAAAATAAAAAATCATAGCGTTTTAGCTAATAGTTGTCAGAAATGATCGTTGATTTTCTAACATTGGGTAGATAATATTTGTTGCAGTGGACAGGGTTTATATGTTGTGCGAATCCATGATGTTGTTTAACTGGTTTTGGCTTAATGTGATGCATGAACACAGCCAATTGTGGGGTTTTTTTTCCCCCAACAATTCAATTTTGTTTGAGGCAATTAAGCTGAAATTTAGTCACTGCCATGTTTAAAAAAAAAAAAAAGCCATCCATGATTGGATATGTACATTGCACTCAGCCAAAATATGATTTGATTACTTTTGGTTCAGTACCCTTGAATTCAGTTGTCGTGGGTTGCATAAAATAAAGATGGGATATCATAATCAACTATGGCATCACGCAGTGTTGCATTCTAAAGCATGCTCTGTCGAACAGTCCTTAATTGTCTGGGTTC